CACACACACACACACACACACACACACACACACACACACACACACACACACACACACACACACACAGGCCTTTTCTTCGCCTGTTTTATCTGAAGAGGCAAAGACAAACACAGCAGACCTGTAGTTTCAGCAGAGAGGTTATAATTACTGAGAGGAAGGGAGGATTTAAAAAAGGAATTTCACTGTGGCTCTGTTTTGAGATTTTTTAGAAACCTCTCTTTTCAAGAGCACCTGGCTTTTTACTTTTTATGTGTGAGTTGTAAAGCTGTACAGAAATTTGTGGACTGATTATAAACAAGTGTTGAAGTCTTTTGATCCTTGAAGTTGGAGAGGCATTTCCCTGAGGCAGTGAGGCTTTTTTGTTTTTTATGCCAACTTTTCTGAATTGTGCTTACTTTTGTCCTCAGTTATCCCTTTCAGGGGAAGCTGTTGAAATAATTCGAGGTCACCGAGTGACACAAATAGCCACAATCTCCCTTCATTCATCTAACATGTTCAGGTCAGAGGTTATCTAAAGCCATCTACTCTCAGAACCACGCAGACTTGGTCCACCTTAGGATATGTTCCCAAGTAAGCCCAGCTGGCTATAAAGTTCATCTGAGTCAATGTTTTCATGTCTTATCAGGATAAACTTCTTGTGACATTGTCAAACCAATAGCGTCGTATTTCCTGTCGCTATTTGACACCAGTGGCAGGTTACTGTTGCTGAGGTAATGAACAATCTGTGTCTGTTTGTAGGCTTGAGACGCATGGACAGACACTCAATGTGTAGTCATTATACTGCGGTAAACATCTTATTCCCGCTAGGATGGTCATGTGACCGTTTGTGTTTGTGTGAATCTGTGAATATGTGTGAGAGTGAGCGAGCAAGCAGCAAGTTGCTCCCTTGCTGAACCAGCCATGCTATACCGATTCTCTGCACACAGAGCTCTCTGGGCAGTAAATAACACGGTGCCTCAGCCGGGGGACCTGGAAAGGTCCACGAGGGGGGTCAAGACTCCAACAAGAAAGCGAAAAAAATATCTGCTTCTGGGAGCAGAGATAGTAAATCATCATATAGGACAGGAGAGAGGCAGGTGGATCTGACAGATTTGCCCGTCATGCTGAGAGGCTTGACGGTAGACCTGTCATTGAATGTTGATATGGTAGATCAAGCATAAAACATGCAAAACAAACCACCATTGCTCATGGGTAGATGTAGGTAAAACAAAAATTCTCTGGAAACTTTTGGTCTGAGAGATTCGCTTATACATCCTCTTATAAATACACCAAACATGACAACATTACAGCCTATACATGATATTGCTACTTCATTTTGATTGAAGTACAAAAACAGGTTCTAAGTAAACAAAGTTACAAGAGTCTAATGATCCTGTAAGCCAGAGGTAGGCAACTCTAGGCCTCGAGGGCCAGTGTCCTGCAGGTTTTAGATCTCTCCCTGTGTCAACACACCTGAATCAAGTGGTTAGTTCATTCCCAGGCCTCTGGAGAACTTCAAGAAATGTTGGGGAGGTAATTTAGCCATTTGAAT